CAGACGCTTATTTCAAACAACTCTCTTTTTATTTCAACGGCTAGGAATTGTGTTCATTCCCAGCCTGTAATGAGTCCCAAACAGTCCCTCGAGATAAGCACCCACCTTTCTCTCCTTTGAATGGCTGCCAACAACTCAAGTGCCAAATTAACTGTAAAAAGCCAACCAAAGTACAAAGTCCACACAGAGCTTCAAGGTTTAATCCGAACAGAGCAATTGACTTTGCTTCCTGCAAAGGTTCCTGTCCCTTTGCTCCTCCTTGATGTCTTATGAGAGGGGCCAATCACTTCCAAGCCTTACTCCCGAGTTGCCCCTTTTGTCTCAACTATTCTTGCCTTCTGGCAGCTCTGCGCAAGCGCTCACTGGGAACAGGCTCCCTCTGCTCCTCTGCCTTGCTGCTGTCAGATTGTGGGGGCTCTGGAGTTGGCACATAACTCCTAGGTGGCCCCGGTCCCATCTCTGCGTCAGACACAGATCCCTCCTCCGAGACCTCCCCCAAACTCCAGGACTGGCCCATGTTCCTCCCCACTGTCCGACTGTGCCACAACACGAGGACTTACTTTCCGGGTAGGTCCTATTTTCAGGGGAACAATATTTACTGGGTGTTTTTTATTCGTTACGGTCTCTGGTCCCTGACTTGTCATCAACTGAACTGAATGGGCTGGACCAGGGCCGGGCGTTGTGTTGAGGTCAGCCTCCCCTCCTCCGTCTCTCCCCCCCAGCACCAGCGCCGCCACCTGGAACTGGCCCGCACCGTCTCCAACGCGGTGGAGCAGCAGAGGGCTTGGGCCACCATCGGCCGCACCTACATGTTCATGGCCGAGAGCGGCCAGCTGGAGGAGGCCCTGCAGGAGGCTGAGAAAGCCTTCATGAAGAGCTTGGCTATTCTGGACGAGGAGCTGGAAGGTACCCTGGGTGGAGAGAGGTGGGGGAGGCCTCCCGGGGCACCGTGGGTTGGTACCCCCCCCTGCTGAAGGGGGAAGGAGGTCTTTGGGGCTGAAGACTTTCCTACTCTCTTGGAGGCTTCCTGAGTTGGGGTACAAATGAAAGGAACCAGAGAGAATGAGGCAATTGGAGTTGGAGTCCATCACCGGGGCCAAAAGCTTATTCTTCCAAGACTTTGGGGTCCGGATGGAAGCTTCTTTTTCTCTCCAGAAGGAGTGCCCTGGGGCTACCCTACACATTGTACGGACAGAGAAGAAAATTCGTAGTTCAGGGTTGTAGGGAGGGGATCCTTGGGGGTCTCTCTGAGCTGGGTGGTTTTCTTGCAGACGTTTCATGACCCGACTAGGGAACAACATCAGTGCTAAAAGAGAGGGGGATTTGCAGAGAGGGAGGGGGAGGAGAATGACTGGAGAGTCCTTGGTGCTCTCTCTGCTGGGTGGTTTTCTTGCAGATGTTTCATGACCCAACTAGGGAACAACATCAGTGCTAGAAGGGAGTAGGGTTTGCAGAGAGGAGGGGAGGGGGAGGGGAAGGAGGAGAAAAGGAAGAAGAAGAAAGAAGGAGGAGGAGGAGGAGAAGAAGAAAAGGAGGAGGAGGAGGAGGAAGAAGAAGAAGAAGAAGAAGAAGAAGAAGAAGAAGAAGAAGAAGAAGAAGAAGAAGAAGAAGAAGAAGAAGTAGTAGTAGTAGTAGTAGTAGTAGTAGTAGTAGTAGTAGTAGTCCTTGCCGAGCTTGGTGGTTTTCTTGCAGACGTTTCATGACCCAACTTGGGAACCTCATCAGTGCTAGAAGGGTGGGGGGTTGAGGGTGGAGAAGGAGAATAGGAAGGAAGGGAGGAAGGAGAGAAAACGAGAGTCCTTTAGCACTGATGATGTTCCCTAGTTGGGTCATGAAACATCTGCAAGAAAACAACAGAGAGAGAGAGAAGAGAGAGGAGAGAGGAAAGAGGGAGGGAGGGAGAGAGAGAGGATCCTGCAAACCCTTTTCTCCTCCTTGCAGGGCAGGTGCCGCAGCGGGAGGAGAGCGAGATGAGGTCCCGGCTCTACCTGAACCTTGGCTTGATCTATGACAGCCTGAAGAACCCAGCCATGCGCACCTCCTACATCAAGAAGAGCATCTACATCTCGGAGTAAGGGGGCCCTGGGGGGAGGTGTCCCTCTTCTCCCTGCTCCACCAGGGTCACCTGGGGGTTTGGGGGGGGGGCAGGAGGCGGCAGGGTTGTGCTGGCTAAGGAATTCTGGGAGGTGCTCCACAAGTCTTAAAGGGGTCAAGGTAGGAGACCCCTGGACTAGAAGGCCTCCAAACTCCCTTCCAACTCCATTACGGGTAGTCCTTCCTTCCTTCCTTCCTTCCTTCTTCTCTCTTTTCTTTCTCTCATTCTCTTTCTTTTTCTCCCTTTCTTTCTCCTTCATTGTCCCTCTCTTTCCTTCCTTCCCTCTCTTTTCTTCCTTCCTTCCTTTCTTATTCTCTTTTCTTTTCTTTCTCCCTCATTCTCTCTCTTTTTTCCTCTTATTTTTCTTTCTCATTCTCTTTCTCGCTTTCTTTTCTTTCTCATTCCCTCTTTTTTCTTTCTTTCTTTCTTTCTTTCTTTCTTTCTTTCTTTCTTTCTTTCTTTCCTGGCTTCCTTTCTTTTTCTCTGTCTTCTTTCTTTCTTCCTTACTTCCTTTATGTCTCTCCCTCCTTTTTTCTTTCCTTTTTTTCTTTTTATCTCTTTTCTCTCATTCTTTCCTTTCTCTCTCTCTCTTCCTCTGTCTCTTTTCTCCTTTCTTTCTCTCTCCTTTCCTTTTTTCTCTCTCTCTTTTTCTCTCACTTTTTCTTTCTTTCTCTCTCCTTTATATTTCACACGTTTCTGAACTGCCCATCTCCTTTGAAGTCGGTTTCCGGACAGTTTACAATGAAACATCGAAATACAAAACAGCGTATAAATAATAAAACGTTAGCGTTGACATTTCAGTTCTAATCCTTGGACTCTGGAGATAAGCTGGGGTGTGTGTGTGTGTGAAGGGGCTCCTTGCGGGCAGCCACCCTTGACCCCTCCGGCAGGGCCTTGCCAAGGTGCCCACTGTCGTCCCTTCCGCCTCCTAGGCAGGCCCACCTGTCGGAAGACCTCTTCCGAGCCTACTTCAACCTGGGCAACATCCACCTGCGGGAGAAGGAGCATTCGCAGGCCATGCGCTGCCTGGAGCGCGCCCGGGAGTGCGCCGGCAAGATGAAAGAGAAGTACATGGAGAGCGAGTGTTACGCCAGCATTGCCCAGGTAAGAGAGTCGCCTTGAGAAGGGCGGGGGGCCTCACCTGTACCCCAATAATGCCAAGATCCTCTGCCGTCTTGCTTTGCACAAGCCTGGCTGAATCCCTAAACTTTGGCCACTTCTAGACTCGTGGACTTCAACTCCCAGACTTCCCCAGCCAGCGAATGCGAGATGATTGATAAATAGATGAGAGAGAGAGATAATAGATGACAGATTAGATAGATACATAGATAGATGAAAGACATGATTGATAAATAGATGAGAGAGAGAGATGATAGAGATGATTGATAGATGGGAGACAGATGTTTTATTGATAGATGAGAGAGATGATAGATGACAGATTAAATAGATACATAGATGAGAGAGATATGATTGATAGATGAGATACGATTTATTGATAGATGATAGATGAGAGAGATAATAGATGACAGATTAGATAGATACATAGATGAGAGAGAGATGATTGATAGATGATAAAGAGAGATAATGGATGACAGATTAGATACATAGATGAGAGAGAGATAATAAATGACAAGATAGATAGAAAGATAAGAAATAATAAAATTATGCATATACCCAAATACTCACATATACGACACGGAGAAACGACACAGTCTAGTTCGGATGTCTACATGTACACAGCCATAAAAATGATTCTTGCCAGTTGTGGATGCTGCATCACTGGAGGTTTCCTTTTCTTTCCTTTTTATAAAGTTTTTATTTTTAAAACATACATCAATATCATTTCATGGACACTGGAGTTTTTTCAAGAAGCGATTGGACATCCATCCGTTTGGAGTGATGTAGGGGCTCCTGCTTGGGAAAAGGGGTTGGACTAGAAGTCCTCCAAGGTGCCTTCCCACTCTGTTGTTCTGTTAATCAACCAGCGGAACCTCTTGCCTGCAGAAGTTCTGGGTTCTCCATGACTAGAGATTTTCAAGAAGAGATTGGACCACGATTTGACAGGGATGGTATAAGGTCTCCAGCCTTGGACAGGAGGGTTGGCGTAGGAGACCCCTTTCAGGGCTAGGATTCTATCTTCTTTTGAGTACAAGGGTAGCCATTTCCTGAGTGGGGCTCCTGGCCTGCCCTGGGTGGGGAGGAGAGGGCAGTCTCTGACCTTTGCCCTTGATCGCCCGCAGGTGCTGCTGGGTCTGGGGGATTTCGTAGCCGCCAAACGGTCCCTGAAGAAGGCCTACCGCCTGGGCTCCTGGCAGCCCCAGCAGCGGGACAGCATTGGCCGCAACCTGCGCTACGGTGAGTGCTGGTGTCTGTGGGTCTGGCCTCTGCTGTTGGTGCTGTGGCCTGTTGGCCTCCAGCCCCTCCAGCAGCCGAATCAGAGGAGGAGGAGGAGGAGGAAGAGGAGGCGTGGGAGTCAGGGTCAGCATCAAGGCAACCTGAGAGCTCCGAGGGGGGAAATGGAGCTGGCAGAGAGAGAGAGAGAGAGAAAGGAGAGAGAAAGAAGCAGAAAGAGAAAGAAGAGAGAGAGAGAGAGAGAGCCCTGGGCCATCTGTCAGCCCTCAAATGTCAACAGTCCCCAGGTCTGGAGGTGGCTGATGAGGAAGAGAAGGAACAGCCGGGTCCAGTGCCTGAT